AGAAGGCACGCTGGATGTCCCCTTGAGCGAACACACAGCTGTCTTCGCAATCGACGCTGGCCCACGCACTGGGCGCGGGAAACGTGGTGGCTGGCGGGGCTGCGAAACTGCAAGTGGCCAGCCGCGCGTCGAACGCGAGCCTGAGCATGCAATTGGATTTCTCCACAAAGAATACACCGATTGAGTGAGAGGAGTGAAGACTGGCGGCCCGCCATGCGATCATGCCGTGGGCCTCCAGCTGCTTCAAAAACTGAGCGTGGGACTGAGACCGAAAGCACAGCCCAGGGTCCACGCGTGGGCGGTCGATGCCCAGCGCGCCCCGAAGCTCCGCTGCAACCGACTCGGGATTCAGCATAGTCTGCCTCCAACCCTGCAGCGCGATGGAATCGGCCTCCGAGACGACGTCGCAGGTGGACGCGGTTTTCGTCGACTGGGGCCAGGCCACCATGGGATTGCTGCAGGGGCGCGCCCGACCGCCGTCGCCAGCGTAGCCAGGCGCCCGAGCGAGCATCTCTACCAGGGATGCTTCGCAGGCGCTGCTCCTCTGCGAGTAGGCGGCAGGCAGCTCGAACTCACGGTGCAGGCCCGCGAGGTGCTCCACCGAGGCCGCCTGCACTGCGGGCGCGCTGCCATCCTCCTGGGGTGCGGTTGGCCCACCCCCGCCGCAATGGAGCCAGGTGAGACCCTCGCTGCACCGCCCGCGCCCGCCCGCGCCTTTGGCAGCGCGAAGACGGGCCGCGCGACCGAGGGGTAGATGGCGGCGCCCATCCAAGGGGAGAAGAGGATGTGGAAACGCATCGCGCTGACGATCGGCACCGCGTCTGGGCGCCTGCAGGCCAGGCGGGGGCGCAAGGGCCTCTGGGCTAACTTGGCCAGGCTCACGAACCGTAGCAGTCGACTCGCGAGGCCCTTCGCGGCCAGGGTCCCGAGGGAACGCCATGGCGCCCGCAACGCGCGCCCCTCGCGAGCCTTGCGTCGTTCTTTGGCCACAGCGGCCTCCATCTTCATCTGCTCTGCGATCCAGTCCATCAAGGCGGGGCAGATTCACGAGTTCCCCTTGGTCTCGCCCGCGCCGAGGAAGTGGCCGACCTCCGAGGCGGAGTCGGCAGGGTGGGCCTCCTTCGCCTGCGCCTTCGCCTTGGGCGCGGGCCGCGACCTCCTGGAGCGCTCCTCGAACGCTCGCTCCTCCGCCAGTTGCAGCTGCCGAGCGAGGTACACGTAGGAGGCGAGCTCGCAGATGACCAGCTGATCGCGGCGAAGAGCGGTCTCGACCACGCGGCAAAGCGTCTCGTACAGCTTTGCGTTCTCGTCGTGCTCGCCAAGCTGCGCCATCGCGATCCAGCGGCTGTGCCGGGCCATGGCTCCTCCCGCCATGCGGGGCATGAAGCCGAGCACCCAGAGCAACGTCCTCGGGCCCTTCACAGGCCAGTCGGCGCGCACCGTCTCCGTCTGCGGCTTCGCCGCATCACTGAAGGCGATGTCGCGGAAGCCGCGGCCGTCGAGCACGAGCACCATCACGCGAGGGTCGACGCCAGCCAACGCTGCTGCAGGAAGGGCGGCGCCAGCCGCCGCGCCAGGGGGGCTGCCGGGGCCGCTGCAGGCGCGGGGGCGCCGCCCCCAAGCGCCGCCGCTAGAGCTCCGAGGCCGCCTCCGCCTCCGGGCGCCCCTGCGGCGGGCGGGGCCGCCAGCGCGGGCAGCGCGGCGGCGGCGGGCGCAGCCGGCGTGGCGCCCGCCGCAGGCAGCGCCACGCCGCCCCCAGGAGCGGGCAGCGCGGCGGCCGCAGCGCCTGCGCCAGCCGCGGGCGGCGGCGCTGCGGGGTCGGGCAGCGCGACGGGCCCCGCCGCCAGGCCCAACACGTTGGTGGCGCTGAGGTCGACGTTGAACGGCGAGGCGGGCAGCACGCCGGACGCCAGGGCCACGGCGCGTCGAAGCGCCGTCCACACGTCAGCAGCTCGAGGCAGTTGCCGAAACTGATACAGGTGATTGACTGGAACGCCCGGCAGACCTTCACCCTGCCCACTGAGCACGTGGATGGGTCAAATGTCGCGATCCGCCACGCTGGCCTCTGGGTGGTGGTCGCCGTCTGGCGTGAGGATGTATCATGGCCGCAGCGTCAGGCGTTCATGGTAGATCGCGGGCCCGCCGACGTTGTACCGCACCAAATGGAACTGGCCTGCGGCGGGCGCCGCCGTGGAGCCTAGCCGCGGCTGAAGCTGCGAGCCTGTGCGGCCGCCGCTGTGGCCAGGTCGAGGTTGGGCTCGGGCGCCGCGAGGGGAAACAAGTCAGGTTTCCCGCTCGCCGCCGAGACGCCCCGCGCCCTCGCCGTCAGGAGTCCGCCTCCCAGCGCGCCGAGGCCGAGCGAGACAACCACCGCGCCCGCCACGAAGCCCGTGGACCAGCCTGCGGGCGAGCTCGCCGTCGCCGCGAGCAGGCCCTGGCCGCTCGGGCAGCGGCACTCCAGTGCGGGGCAATGGAGCGCGGGAGAGCACACACAATCGCAGGCAGGGCACGGCAGGCTGCTGCCGCGCACAATGATGGCCGTGGAGAGAGCGCTGGCGAAGTCCTGCGCGACTCGCTCGAACAGGGCCTGCATTCCCTCAAGAACTTGAGCGAGGAGATACGGCCACAACACATGCCCACAAATGCCGACAAGTCGCTGCATCATCATCCCCATCATCAGCGTCGTCATCATCATAAGCATCATCAGCAGCATCACCAGCATCATCAACCACACCATCATCAGCATAGTCAACGTCATCGTAATACATAGCATCAACACCGCCACTGCCATCATTATCGGCAGCATCATCCTAAACATCAGCATCGTCATCAGTCCCATCATCATAATAGTCATCGTCATCGGAGTCATCGTCATCGTTATCGTCATCATCACCGGCATCACCATCAGCATCTCTGGAAGCGTTATATTAATCACAGCCATCATTAATATCAACAGTATCATTCGCATCATCATCAGCATCGTCGTCATCAGCATCATCAAAACCATCGGCATCATCATCAGCATCGACAACATCATCAAAGGAATCATCATCACGCACAGACGCAGCATCCATCATCATCAGTATCAGCATCGTCGCCGTCGGCATCAGCAGCAGCATCATCAAAACCAGCATCATCACAACGACCAACACCAGCATCACCGCCACCATCATAATCAACGTCACTACCATCATAATCATCAGCGTCATCACCAGCATCATCATCATCTTCTACTCCATCCTCCTTATCATTATCACCACCACAGTTATGAACAGAGCCTGTATCAGCATCAGCATCAGCATCATCATCATCAGCATCATCATCATCATCAGCATCATCATCATCAGCATCATCATCATCATCATCAGCATCAGCATCACCATCATAATCCTCAACCTCATCCTCCAACTCATCTTCATCATCATCCTCATCCTTATCCTCACCCTCCTCATCGTCATCACTATCACCGGAATCATCATCAGCATCAGCATCAGCATCAGTATCAGCATCAGCATCATCATCACCATCAGCAGCAGCAGCAGCATCGCCATCATCCCCGTCATCCTCACAATCAATATCATCATCGTCATGACGAGCGAAGGTGGCCAGGATTCGAAGAGTGGGTGGCGAACCGTGCGTTCGTCAGATTTTCCTGTCCCCAAAACTTGCAGTTAGGAGCGAACAAAAACGCTGGGAACCCAAAAACTCGAGCCCGATAAGTCCCCCCCCGATCCTATCACCCCCATCAAATTGCCCCTGACAGTTCCTAGGACTAGGATTGCTTTTCTCCTGACTCAGGCAATTTCACTTGCATGGGATTCCCCCCCCTCTCCACCTCCGCCGCCGGCTCAAGCAGCGCTGGCCCGAAAAGGCGTGCAAGCAAGTCCCGACTTGCGTGTGAAGGTCAGATTTCCTCTCGCGTCTCGTCACGCGCCACCCCCCCCCGGCCTCCATGTAAAGCAAATCCACCCGAATCGAAACAACAACAAAACCCGACTCCCACGAAAACGCCTGAAAACCTCGAACATCGCGCCCGATACGTCCAACCAGAGCCTAACCCAAATGTGTTCTCCTCTTCCCTTCCCGCCTCCTCGTTTCCCTCTGGGGCTGGGCGCGGGGGAGCCACTTCGGGTCGGCAGCGCCCCTGGCGGAGCCAGGGGGCCAGTTACCCGCCGACGAGGCTGGCACTGCTTTAGATTCACCCCGAACCGAAAGTGAAAAAAAAGTTCATCCGGAGCCTACCCAACGTCGGGGGCGTCAACTAGGGCGAATAGCCCAGGGTAGAGTGCAGTACCTGTATTCAGGGGAGCCCATCATGGGCTCCCCTGAATACCATGGCATGGCATTGACCATGGCATGGTCAATGCCTTCAGCGAGGCTCCCACGTGCAATGCCCGACCCTGGGCTGTTTGCCTCTATCGTCGCCTCCGACGAACCCAGACCCAGACCCCCGACGTCATGATTTTTTCGTTACGTCGACCCCTGGAAATCTCGACCCATTCCCCTGGACCGGTCTTTCATCCTGCGTCGTTTTTTAACGGTATCGAGGGCCGGCAAGGGCCCCCAAAGGTCGAAAATAGCAACAACAAAAAAACTCCCGTCATGATTTTGTCATTGCCCGAAGGGGTCTGGGAACGTTGCCCCCCGAGCGTTCCTCCGCCCTGGCGCCCGCCCGTCGAGCCGCCCGCCTCAGTTTTTGGGGGTGACCCAACAGGGGGTCCAGCTGAAAGGGGGTGGTGCAAACGACAACTGTATGGCAATGTACTGCGCCGGAAGATTGTATTGCATTGTACTGCAAGGACTGTGTTGCACGAGAAAATGCAGCAATACATCTGCCCCCCGACATGTGTTGCACGCCCCAAGTGTATTGCAACCCCACAAATCTATTGCACCAAATCTGTTGCACCACCCCCTTGTCGCTGGACCCCCTTTGGGTCAACCGGAGTTTTGCTCCCTCCCCGGCGCACCCTCTGGAGCGGCCCCCCCCAGGGAAGGGCGGCCTCTGGGCCTCCTCCGCGGGCGCCGCCCTGCTTCCGCGCTCGGATGTACCACCGCTTCTTCTTGTCTCCCTCCGGGGGGGAGCTGGGCCGGGGGAAATCTAAGCGTGGGCGCGAAAATGACACAAGCACAAAAACTCGGAGGTCCGCGCGGATTTCTCGGATCCGCACTGGGGCCCCCTGGCGGCGCCTCCGGCGCCGCCCCTGACGCGCTCGGCGCGACAAGGAGTAGTGCCGATCCGTGAAATCCGCGCAGACCTCCGAGTTTTTATGCGTATCATCCCTCGTTCCCTTAGTAAGACTCGGTCTCGGGGGAAACGGATTGGCCTGACGGGGCCGTCAGGAAAGTGATGAGGCTTAGGTACGACGTTTGACGCGGACTCCCGCTGCAAAAGCATCCCACTAAAACTGGACCGTCAAATCCAGGACGTGCCCGTCAAAAAACGTCGGCAAACCCGGGGTCCGGCGAACTCGAGTCTTCCGTTTCCCCGAAGGGCGGAGGGAGGGGAGGGGGCGGGAGGACGGGGGCAGGACCAGAGGAGGAGGAGCTGCCAATGCTGCTGCCCCTCCCTCGTCGCCAATGCTGGGTTCGCCTCGAAATTGTGGTCGGAACGCGCCCCCCTGAAGAGGTCCGTGGAGTCGAAGCATTGGTACCTCGTCGCCCCCCCCAGGGATGGCGGGGAATGCAGGGCAGGGCAGGGCAGGAGGGAGGGACTCTGGACAGGAGGGAGGGGGGGCGAGAACCAGCAGAGAGTAAGGGGAAGCCCATGCGCTGTAGTGACGGGTTCGCAGCCAGGGGGGATGGCCGCAGGTTCTCCTGGGGAAAAGGGGACAGGTTGCCTCTTTCCTTTCTACTGCCTCCACTTGTTGGCTCTTGCGAATCGACGCTAATCGACGCCAGTCGAGGCTAAGTCGACGCTAGTCGACGCTAGTCGACGCTAATCGACACTAATCGACACTGAATCGGCGCTTCCTCGTCGATAGCCAGACGCTGGTCGACGCCAGTGCGCTCTAAAGACGGAGTTACAAGGGTATACGTATGACTTGCTAACGAACACCACCTCCTTCACCACACCCTCCCAGTCCGCCGCTGTTCCTCATTCTCCCTCGCTCCCTCCCCCCAGAGTTCTACGACATTGACGGCGTCAAAGATTGAAAGCGTGGGACTCTGAAATCTTGGCAATGCTGGTATAGACTCTAAACGACGAAGAATGTCTAAACGTTTGAGGGTGTGAAGGAGCACAAAAGCAACTCAACGCAGAGGCTTGGAGCCACAGGAGAAAACTCGATAGAGCTCTACGGGCGGAAATGAGAGAGCACCAGTAAGAGCCCACGCATGCAGCTGTACGGTGCCTAATGCGTCTCGTGAGTTTCGGTGCTTCGCTGGCGCAGCAAAACCCCTGACAACAGAGGAATTCAGGAAGTATAATGAATATGACGACCGGGCGTAGAGTCGTCAGAAGACGGCATTCCTCAACACAACGGTGTCGATAGAATGGAGCGTATACATCTCGAAGACAGCACCGTGCGATACAACGACACATATAATAAAATTTAAGGAAGCACAACCACTACCATAAAACAAAAACGATAAATGAAGCATTCAAACAACGTAAGCATGAACATGCCCACATGTTGTCGACATGGGGGGCTGGGGACACATGCACGCACGTTTCCGGTCTCACTGATCTCTATGTACCAGATATGTTGCTGTGTCGACTTGTTGGGTAAGCAGCGAAGGCAGGCGCCAACGCGGTCGATCAGCCATGATGTGCCGACATCGGGACATGTCCCGAATCGTGTGCACTCCTTCCTGCCCTGAAGCCAGGAAGCATCCACGGATTGCAGCCTCGCTGGCGCTCTGTCACCGGCGCGTTTCCGCCAAGCCACCTCCTCATTGCCGCGCCGTGGCCTTCCCGCCGCCGCCCCGTTGCGTTCTCGCTGCCGCCCCGCTCTGCTTCTGCAGTACTGCGAATTGCTTCGCATCGTCAAGCACTGCTCTGCCTAGCGTTCCAAGGCTTGGCAGATTGCCTCGCGCTGCTTCGCAGTGATTCTCAGGTTGCGCCAATCTGCGTTTGTTGGCACTGCTTTGCGCTGCGCTTTCTATGGCGTTGCATTGCGTTGCGTCGCATTGCTTCGCGTTGCGTTACAGGGATCATGATGTAAAACATCCAACAATCCAATATGTCAATACTTTCCTCGGTCAAGCATGTATGCGCGACGGCTACACGCAGGAGCGGCCTCAGACCAGAGAGAAGTGGCCTTTAGTACGAGGACTAGATAGGGTGGGCGGCAAAACCGCAGCGCGCAAGCCGCTGCTGTCGCATCCCATTTAGCGATTGGGGGACCCCTGTCGGCCCGCACTGAAGGTCACTCTGGCGACGGAGCAGTCGGCCTTAAGGCAAGAACTCGGGCCTGTGGCGGCGAGGCACGGCTGCTGAACACAATGCGAGGTAAGAAAACCCTCCGGAACCGACGAGGAGCCCACAGAAGGAACTGGCGAAAGGCCACTCTTGCACTTAGGTAACCGCGCTTGGCAATGGGGAAGGTTCGTCGGTTCGATCGGATCGGTCAATCGAATCGGATCGATCGGATCGAACTGGATCGGGATTGGCCCCGCCCCAGCGCCTGTGGCAAGGGGGAAGGGCTCCAGGAAACTAACCCACCCACGGGTCCGTAGGACAGAGACGATAACGATGGGTTGCCCTCCAAACTCTTACGGCAGTGTCCGTCAATACCTGAGCCCACACGGCGATAGTGAGGGAAGGAAATTTTGGGGGTCCAAAACGGTGCGGTGACAGACCATGCGGTGACCTCGAAACCCCGAGAGACCTCAACGCACGGTCCATCACCGCATCGTTTTGGGACCCCCGCAGGCCCGGGTCGCCCAAGACATCCTCGGAAAACGACCCAAGTCCCAAAACCATAAGGCCGCCCAGAATCCCCACTGACTCACCGCACGGGGGGGTCACCGCACCGTCACCGTCTGGCAACCAGACTGCAATTGGTGAAGCATCTCAAAGCTTCGAGGAGATGATTCACCAATCGCAGCACAGGGAGACAGGCGTGATGGAGGCGGCTGAGCTAAGGGCGCGGGGATTGGCGCCGGCCAAGGCCGTGGCGGCTACTGTGCGACAGGAGAGGCGCCGCTTGCGCCTGCGTGGTCGAGTTTCGTTTCCACATATGCCTCGACTCCTGAGCTCCCTCAAGCCCCTGAGGCCTCTATACCCCTGATGCTACATCTTACTGTACAATCGCACCCCACCTATTTGGCACTATGGGTCACTACGTGCTTGCGTTGCAGTCACAATCACACTTTTCTGTAGTATGTGTTGTGCGTGGTGTGTTCGCATCGTTGGTGTACGTTGGGATGGTCCCTCGGCCTCCACGGTTCGCCCCAACACAGCACTGCAGAATATGTGTTAGATGTCGGTCGCGTTGTTAGTTGGCATCCGCGGAATTCGCCTTCCCCGGTCTACTTCGGCGTGGTCGGGCGCACGTTCCTGTACTTCCTGGTGGACTTCACTTTTGGTCGTTTGGGTTCTGCTGGTGACGAGGTAGTTACATGTGTGTCTTCAGCACGTTGTATCGTATGTGGCCGGCATGGCGGATTGCCTGTGTGCAGCTTCAGGCTTATTCGCGGACAGGTGCACGAACTTGAACTCATGAAGCGCCGTGGAGAGGTGTGGTCTGCTTGACCTATCCTCCCTTGATGCATTGAAGGCGTTGAAGGAGGAGGAGGAGGAGGAGGAGGAGGAAGAGGAAGGGAGCAAGGAAGGGAGCAAGGAGGAGGAGGAGAAGGAGGAGGAGGAGGAGGAGGGGAACAAGGAGGGAGGAGCGATGGAGGAGGAGGAGGAGGAGGAGGAGGAGGAGGAGGAGGTGTACGAGGAGCAGCGAGGACGAGGAAACTCCTGAGGAGGAGCAGCAAGAGGGAACCCGCTACAGCAGGCCGCGGGCCTGCTCCCAGAGCCCGTCGAAGAAGGTGCCGCCGCCCTGGCAGCGGCGGCGGCGACGGCGGGGAAAGGCCTCCCAGAGGCCCCGCCTGCGCCCCTCTGAGGGCCTGCTGCTGCTGCTGCCGCTGCCTCGGTGGCTCCAAGGCGGGGTCCTACGGGATGGGGCCCCAGGGGCCACGGGTGCCCCGAAAACAATGCAGATCCACGCTTGAACCCCCTTCCTGTCCGAAGGTTCCCCCTCCCTCGGGGCCCGCCCTTCCTATCCTGAGGTTCCCCCTCCCTCGGGGCCCCCGCCTTCGAGCCGCTGACTGCCGCCGCCGCTCCCGCCTGTGCGAGCCAGCGACGCAAGGAGCCTGGGCGCCGCAGCAGCATAAAACGCATCGAGGCGGCGCCGCGTCGCTCCTCCTCCTCCTCCTCCTCCTCCTCCTCCTCCTCCTCCTCCTCCTCCTCCTCCTCCTCCTCCTCTTCCTACTCCTCCTCCTCCTCCTCACTTTCCTCCTCCTCCTCCTCCTCCTCCTCCTCCTCCTCCTCCTCCTCCTCCTCCTCCCCGCAGTGGCCACCATCGCCCAAGCCGCGGCAGGCGAAGGAGGCTGGGCCGCTCGAAGGCAGGCCGCGGGGCTTCTCAGAAGCCCTCCGGCCTTCTGAGAGCCTTCTGAGACGTTTTTTGTTTCGGGGAAGGCTTGACAAGCTTCTCGGAAGGCGGCGGGGACTTCCGAGCCTTCTGAGAAGGCCCGCCCCGTCTCACTTCCCCCCTGGGCTCGCCGCCGACAGGGGCTCGAGAGCGCTAACCACCGAGGCCACACACCGAGTTCGGAAAGTCTGGGGCGAGCCCACCTGCTTGCCTGGCCACGCAATGCCAGACATGTCAGCACTGCTGGGAAAAGCAAACATCAACCTTACATCCCCGCCCCCCACGTCGCCTGCACCTAAGTTTGACCCTGGACAGGAGAGACCGTTGCTGCTTCGGGGGGCCACGGGGGGACCAGATCCACGCGCGCTGCCGCCGAGGTGACCCCTGGTGGCCCCCGCACCAAAGGACACTCGGGCGAAGGGTCACTCTTACGCATGGCCCCCCACTGGGCCATCAAAGAACGGCTCGGAACCGGGAACCGTCCCCGGGGAAAGGCGCTAATTCGGGGGGACAACGAATACCCGTGCCGCTGCTCCGCGGACCTCTCCATGGGCGCCCTCTGTCCAGGGTTTCGGGGCGAACCCGAGGGTATCGGCACCTGGTCCTTCTCGGAGCCTCTCCGTCGCGAGGAGGAGGAGGAGGAGGAGGAGGAGGAGGAGGAGGAGGAGGAGGAGGAGGAGGAGGGCTTCCTCGGCCTCCGCAGCCCTCGGGGTAATCCCCGCGCAAACTCGGCCGTGCGCCTCGTGGCGGCCGCTGGGCGGCCACGCCCCTGGAGTGTCGAGCAGGGCGCTGCCGCTCGAGGTCGGCAGGGGGCGCCCCGCCACTGCAGGGCCGCTGGAGGACGGGCCGAGACGAGAAGGCCGAGGCCCCCAGGGGGGGAGGGAGGAGGAGGAGGAGGAGGAGGAGGAGGAGGAGGAAGAAGAAGGACCGCGTGTCTGGACCGCGAGCGGAAGGAGGAGGAGGAGAGGAATGAGGAGGAGGAGAAGGAGGAGGAGGAGGAAGGAGGAAGAGGAGGAGGAGGAGGAGGAGGAGGAAGGAGGAAGAGGAGGAGGAGGAGGAGGAGGAGGAGGAGGAAGGAAGAGGAGGAGGAGGACGAGTAGGCCGCTCGGTCTCCCCCGGCCGACGTCCTGTCTGTGCCCGTGCGCCAGTGCTCGCGGGGGCCTCCCCAGAGGGGGTGCCTGCACTCGGCGTCGCGCCGAAGGGGGGCCTGGCTTCTCGGAGTCCTGCGATCCAGGCGTTGCGTTTTTTTGTCACACAAGGCGTGTTCGCCCGACTTCCAGTCCCAGGACCCTCAAAACTCGATGTTTGTCTGCAGCGTCAGATTTGAAGGAAGGCGGCGGGGCTTTTCAGACGCCCTCCGACCTTCTGAGAAGCCCCCTGTGATGTCGGACAAGGTCAGAAAGCCTCCCAAGAGGCCTCCGCCCTCTGAGAAGGCCCGCCCCCTCTGCCTTCCCCCCTGGAAGCGCCGCCCGATGATGCCATTCGTGCTCTGCGGACCAACGCGAAGAGTGCCTACACATCACGTAGCGGTGACGCACTCTGCACAACGGTCTTGGACAGATACCCTCTAACGCCCGCTGGGCCCAGTCTGGCCCAAGGCCAGGCAGTCGAGCCTGTGCGCGCGGGCATGGATTCCCAACGTCGGCGCTGTCCGCAGGGGCGGGGGCGGGGAACGCAAGGGTGAGAGACCTTTCTGGGTCCCCAGACCTGGCCGAACACGGCGCGTTCCCCGACACGTCGACCGCAACATTGCCGTTGGATTCGTATCGGTCGGAAGTCTGGCTAGCGCCCGTATAGGAACTGATCCAACTTCGGCCGACACAAGCTTGCCACTGCTCGACGCACACGCAGTCAGCTGGTCGTAGCGACTGCCTGATTTCGTGCAATCGCGGCCAGCCTGCCAAAGCTCCAACGCGGAGACATGTGGTCACGCATGCTGCACTCGCGAATGAGCGTATGACCCTTCTTGCCAACGGGAAATTGGATTCCAGCTTTGAGGAGCCTCGTTGTACGTGCATGGCGGGTTCTGGAATACCTAACACCAAAACTGCTTACATTTCTTGGGGGTGCATGTCTTACGTCAGCGGGGCTTCTGCTGGCCTTCCGCCAGCTTCCGCCAGCGGAACCGCCCCAGGGTTACTTCCGCCGCCTCCCGCCAGCAACCGAGGACGAGATGCCAACTCCTTCGATGCTCGATGGCGAGGCCCTCTTTGGAACACGCCAAATGTCTTTATGCGAAGGGTGCCTCTGCAGCCAGGAAGACCGAAGCACTCTGAGCACTCAGAGCCTGGACTTGAAGAAGGGAAAGGCGATGAGCACAAGACTCCTCAGGCGCCGCTGCCTCGGTGTGATCATCTTCTCCCAACAAGCCACCGACAACAAACCCAGCTCGGTCAAGGTGCTTGATGTCCGCCGATCCCGGCTTGCCAGGGACGACGAGGCGCCTGAGACACTCGGCTGTGTCCAAGGCTGGATGTCAGCACACAACTTCCACGACAGTCGCAAGCCTTAAGTCGGACATGTCCCTCTACAGGAGGAATATCAAAAAATAGTCAAAGAATAAGCATGCTGACGATTTTTATATTTTTTATTTTCTGTTTGAATAGTTTTTGGTTTTCGTCCAAACTCCACCTGTAGGGGGACGTGCCCGACCTAACGCAAACTCTGACTCCTTCTGGGGGTCGGCGGAATGGCGGAAGCCACTTGGATAGAAATTCAAGTACTGGGTCCCCTGCACCGTGCGCCCATGGTGGGAGAAGAAAAAACACATAAACATAAAATGTTGGCCCTCCCCGCGGATTTCTTGGATCCGCGTTGGGACCCCCTGGCGGTGCCTCTGGCGCCGCCCCTGGCGCGCTCCGCGCGCAAGGGAGGGGGGCCCAACGCGGATCCAAGAAATCCGCGCGGAGCGCCAAAAGTTTATGTTTATGTGTTTGTTTCTTCTTCGGCATGGGCAACTTTCAGCTCGACCTTCCCGAACTTGAGCCACTTCGGATGTTCCGCGTGCACACCCTGGGCCTGGAAGCGGAGGCCGCCAGCTTGTCTCGCGTTCACCCACGCCCCTGTAATATTCAGCTGCTGGAAGTACATGTCTGCGCACTGCCCACCCGATCGACGCACCTCGGCCTCTACACGAAGCAATACGTGCTGAACACGCTCGCGCCGGGGAATGTGAAGAAGAACGTGCTTACCCGGCCTCATCAAATCAAACCGCTCACCATGGATGTTTTGCAAATGCGGGTCGCCAATGGCAGCCACGGCTCCAACTTCGGCCACTCCAGTCGCTCCGGTCGCAGCAGAAAAGGTCGGCTGTGGCGTCGGCCACCCCGGAGGATGTGTCGGAGCTGGCGTGGGACTGGGCGTCAGGTCCGGCGTCGGGTAGGGCGTTGGGTCCGGCGTCGGGTACGGCGTCGGGGACGGTGTCGGAGACGGCGTCGGGGACGGCGTCGGAGACGGCGTCGGATACGACGTCGGGGACGGCGTCGGGGACGGCGTCGGGCTAGGTCCCCCTCCGAAAATGTGAAACACGACACTTTCCAGTTTCTTGTAGCCAGAGCAATCTGAGCCACCGTTCACGCAGCGGTAACCTGTAGGGCCAGACCAACAGTCTCTTGACCCATGCCCAAAGAAATACCGGCAACACGACTCTCCTCCGAGATTTGTGCTTGTGTAAAGCAAGTCTATGCCGTGTGACGTAGATGGTAATGTGGCCCATGTCGACACCGACTCGTATGAGGACCCCAGCCCAACCAAAGTATTAGCTTTAGTCAGGCCAAACGACCGATGATCGTCTTTGTATGTATCGTTGGTCTTGACGTACAAGTATGAAGAGCAGTCTGAGCTCTTGATTTGATATATGTGCGAGTAGCCATCCCGCGCCGTCGCCATGGCGTTGATCTCGGCGTCGGACAACTTCGCATGATTTGATCCCACGGCCGCGTTAATGTCTCCATAACCTCCTGTTGTCAGGGGAAAAGAATGCGACCCCCTGGATCCATCCTGAATTTGGTATATCTTCGTCCATGAAGCACCAGAGCGCGCCTCGCTGCTTTCGTTGACAAGTTCTAGCGTCACCGGTCCGATGCTTTCTGCGCAAGGCTCAGGGCACACTTCGGAGAGCCTGGCTGTGCTGTGCAAGTGCCGCTGGAAGTCCTTAAAACTTGACTTCTTTGTCAAAGGGTGATACCACTCTGGATGTGTTGAAATGCCAATCTGCATGGCCCACATCACTTTCTCGTAGCACGGGTCGCCCGCGACAACAATGCTGCAACTCGGCCTGGAATTGGAGACATTGCTCATTATACCGCGATGGTGATTCGCGCCCCTGTGTTTTCTACGACTCGGTCGTTTGTGATCAGATGCGTAAATATTCAAATCGGATAATGCAATGCTCATGGTGTCGGAAATCGCATGGCTTATGCTGTGAACATACAACGCCGCAAACCATGTAATCCAAGATGCTGTAAGGGCTGCCATCGCTTAGGTGGTATAATGAAGAAATGCAGATGCGTATGTACTAATAATATCGGCGGGAACCAAGGTTGAGTGTATACTTGAGCCAAGACGGCTACGGAACTGCACATACATCTGCACCATCTAGATGATCTCAGCGGAGAAGCCAATCGTGCATAGCAACCGCGGTCGGCAACCATCGACACCCAAAACGCCAACTCCAGACCTCACAACTGGCAAGCACCTGCGGGTCCACCACATTGCCAGGAAGGCGCCGAGTGGAGCATCCTCAGGCAAGTCAGCAAACCACCGACTCCTGGGCGCTTCCAGGCGCTCACGGGCGCTCCCGGGGACAGCCGCACGACTTTTCCCGAGGCCTCGGGCGCGTACCTCGGAATCCAAACCAATACAGTAGGAGCTCGACCGCAGGGAACCGTCCACAAGAAACCCAACCCTGAGACCCCAGGACGTCCATTGAAGTTTGGTGTGGGCACGCCACGCTTTCCATAGCAAAACCATCGAAACCCAAGAAACCAAGGGCACCCTGGAGGCAAGCAGGGTGTTTCTTGGCATGGGTCTCCACTGCAACGAGCCCGAAGAGGGCATCGGGGGCCCCCGCTCGTTGTACCTCCTCGAGATCCACGGGGCCGTCTTGGGACCTCTGGGGGTCGGCCCAAGAGGCCGACGTCGCCGAAAGCCACAGATCTTGCACGAAGCTCGCATTCTCGCATCGATCGTCGTCTCCTTAACAGGAACCCAAGACGGCCCGAGAGCGCACGAAGAGCGCCCCGAGAGGGCCCGAAAAGGGAGAGAGCTCGAAAGTCCAGCAGACTGTCGGGAGCGCGCAGACATGGATCGGGGGAGGTGCCCTCCCCAACATGCGGCCGGTGCCGCCTCGCTCGGCGGCGGAGATCCACGAATTCCCAGGAAAACGGGGCCCGTCGCTAGTCCACGCCCCCTTTATCCATGGTTGCGATCGCCTGAGACTGCCACGCCAACCAGATCCAACTGAGATCTCGCCCCCCTCGGCCTTGCCACACGCACACTTGTCGCAGCGGAGTGCCCTGCAACACAGATCCGCGATCTTGCTCCGTTGGAACTGCCGTCAAACGCACAGACATCGGCAACTTTCTGTGGTCCTGGGGGTTCAGCGGGGTGCCCAGCAGCGCACATCCGAACGAGATCTTGTCGACCTGGGTACTGTCAAGCGCACAGTTGTCGCCACGTTCCTGTGGCCGTGTGGACTCGGAGTGCCCTGCAGCGCAAATCCCAACTAATTCTCACCCCCCCTGGATGGAGCCACGCGCACAACCGTCGCCACGTTCATGTGGCCCTGAGGATCTGGCGGAATGCACTGCAACGCAAATCCAAACGAGACGTTGCCCCCCTGTGTGCTTGTAAGTTTGCCATTGTCGCCATTTCCTGCGCCCCTGGGAGGTCCAGCGGAGTGCCGCGCCACGCAAGACCAAATCAGACCTCGCCCCGCTAGACAACATCGCACAAACAGCTGTGGCCACTGCCTTCTGCGCCCTCTGCAACCACAGACAAGCAACACCGTCTGATGTATCGCGATGCGCAGCTAGGCGAGGCAAACCTGCTGGAAAATATCAGAGCTGGAAAGCTTCCAGGGATTTGCGAAAACGCCCCCAAACCTTATCTCGCCCCTGCGCGACGAACCACCCTGATGGCCTCCCTCGGGGCATCAGTGCTCACTTCCGCGGCTCATGCCAAGCTTCGGCTGACGAACCTCCCGTCGCATTGCGTCCGCACAGCGGCCGCGCTGCGCCCGATACGCGTGCCACTAGAATGTCTGATGTCGGGGCACTGAAAGACTCGATCCACGAGGCGGCGCTTCTCGACGCTCTCTCACCAAAGATCGGCCACACACCAAGGAGTGAACCCAGGCAGGAGCACCGTGGGTGCGCCGCCTGCCGATCGCTGCGCCCACTCCGACAGCAGCGGCCTGTGTGCTCGGGTTCGCCCTCCTCGCCCTCCTCGCGGAACCCCCTCGTCCTCAACCTCCTCCTCCTCCTTCTTCCTCCTCCTCCTCCTCCTCCTCCTCCTCCTCCTCCTCCTCCTCCTCCTCCTCCTCCTCCCCTCCTCCTCCTCCCTCTCCTCCTCTCCTCCTCCTCCTCCTCCTCCTCCTCCTCCTCCTCCCCCTCTCCTTCCTCCTCCTCCTCCTCCTCCTCCTCCTCCTCCTCCTCCTCCTCCTCCTCCTCCTCCTCCTCTCGCTCCTCCTCCTCCTCCTCCTCCTCCTCCTCCTCCTCCTCCACCCTCCCCCTCGTCCTCCTCATTCCTCCTCCAACCGCGAACCAAAGGTCACGCCAGCGAAGGGCCACCAGCAGGGGGTGCCTGAGGACATCGGGGTGCTTCTGGCCTGGCTGCTCAGGCCTGCCGCCCGCCTGCACGGCTTCCCCCAAGGCCGTAGGCGACCCGAGGGGAAGGAGGAGGGGGAAGGAGGAGGGGGACGAGGGTGAGGAAGGGGGGGGGGGAGGGGGAGAGGAGGAGGAGGGGGAGGAGGAGGAGGAGGAGGAGGAGGAGGAGGAGGCGGAGGAAGCGGAGGAATAATAATAAGAAGAAGCACGCCAAAAGGCGGACCTGTCACTGGATTGGTCTGGTGGCCCCGGCAGGGCGGCGCTCCTGGGGCAGTATACCCCGCCCACTGCCGCTTACGCCACCTGCAGGGCCATCTCTCGTTTGCGCCAACTCTCTCTGGCGCACTCGCTCGCGGAGGGCGGCTACCCTTGACTCGTAGCCGCACTCCGAGTTGGGTTCATGCCAGGACGAAGCGCTGGTGGTATCGATGCGAGGCCCGCGACGTGTGGGCAGGACTATCCCAGCATGAATCACACATGCAATCTGCGTTTGCAATTTTCGACGCGGGCCGACGCCCTTACGGAGTTTCCGCAGAATCCCAATGCCCTTGGACGTCGGCTTGACACAAGGGGCCCTCAGATTATGTTTCCGTCGCTGTTGGGTCCACGCACCGCACGATGTGCAAACAAAAGCTGGACGATCTACAACTACAGAAATCGATTCGAGCCGCTCGCCAGACTGGTGATCGGCAAGGAGAGCTCGGCCGAACGGCCGAGCTACATGTTCGCGAAGAAAAACTGGGGTCCCTCGGCAACCCGTCAAGGGCCAATCCTTAGCATTATCCCGTAGCACAGCAAGACAGCATCGGCATTGCACGCCTCACTCACTGCGTCACCTGTCGTGGTACCCCTCCTTCCTCACGTTCCTGCTCCTCCGAAAATCGGGCAACCTCGTCCACCGCTCTTCCTGTTCGAAGCAAGGGAGCGTCGCAGCAGCAAGTCAAACCAAGTTCCCTATCGCCACTGCATCATCCTCCACCTTCTGCAAAAACCCGTGGCTAGCAGACAGATGCATCAGCACAGCCTGCTTTGCGAAATGATATGCAGCAATCTTCGCATCTGTGATTCTACGCACTGCTTCGGACAATTCCTGATGCTGTGCGCTCGTGCGGTGTGCTTTCGCATGCTTGCGTGCAAGTGCGCATGCCCAGGGGGCGACTGACCGAATACCTGTACGCAGGCGCGCGATGAGCGCGACTCTCTCTGGCGCGCATGTGTCCTCATCGGAGCATATACTGCGCCGAAGAAATCGAAGTACATCCTGGTGGGCCTGTCCGCGATCTGGCCGCAGCACGCAAGCCCCATGCATTCTGCAACGACGGACGTCTGAGGCATGGCAGGTGGAGCAGCTCCGTACGCAGCCAGGAGTGAATCCGGTCCCTCAGGGCCCATAATCACAATCGCCCATCCTGCTCGCTGGACGTCGCGCAGTGCTGATTGGCTGCATGGACCACCTGGTGCCAGTTCAATCGTCGAATCTCCGTCACATGCACACAATACCGTACCTTCAGGCTCCACACCAATATCATGGCCATTCATATTGTCTCGCTTCAGTACCAGATGCCAGCGCTGGAATCTCACTGTCCACCAGAAACTCGAAGGAGCCGTACTTGAAGAAACCGCTGTTCTGCTCGTCAATGCCGCGGTGGATAAACAGGTGGTGCACTTCCGACTCACTCCTTGCAGCAACAGCGTCTGGCCGGAGACACGTGAATCGTCGATGGTGAAGAGTATCTGGCAACCCACATTCACAAAGTCCGTCTGTATCATATCCTCGAAGCCTCGCACGTCCACGTGTCCAGCAACCTCCTGCAGCAAACGCCTTCGCGAGAAACTGCTGGTACGAGGTAAACTTTGAGTTCCGATCACTAGCATGAGGTCGAAGTAAGTCATGGCTTGAACGCGTTCCTTCAGGCGGCCCACGCTTGGCTGCAAGGTTCAGTTCATGCCGTCGTTGTAGTACCTGAGACATGATCTTCACAAGTACTCCAGGTGTGATTTGTTGGAGAGGATCGTTGCCTCGGTGATCGACCAGGTGTCCCAATGCAAATATTCCAGCCCACTCTGCGGACAAATAGTGCTGTCCGCCCCAAGGGGCCACGCGACGAAGACCGCGCGAACTCAGCAAGAGGCCCCCCTTGAAGTGCCTGGTTCCACCACTGCTGCAACCGCGCCAACCTAACGAGCGCCGTGGTAGGAGACACCACTGCATTCCAGATCATGCGTGGCCACTGCAAAGCAGGACCAGTAGCTTGACGTTCAGCTGGATCTCCAAGAGTGACAACTTTAGAGCTGGCTGAAGTTCCTCCATGGCACGGCTTCACAAACTGGAAATGCTGCTTCCGAAGAGCGGCCCGCTCAGCATCTGCTAAACCTATGCTCTCGACTCCAAGCGTCAGTCCAGGTCGAGCTCCAGTACTGAAAACCGTGCCAATGATTTCCGTCTTCTGCCTAGGTAGAGCGCGTCGGTATCGCGCAGGCTTGCGCGTCCTCTCATGAGACCGTCGGCGTCGACCTAGCTCGTTCTTTCTAATGGAAGCTGCGCACCTCGATCTCCCACCATCTTGGCCCATGCCACCGTTAGTTGCGGAACGCTTATCCGCCGAACTGAACAGGCCGAGCTTTGCAGCAACTGCGTCTCCAACACCGGCGCCCGAGCAAACGATCGGGAACCTATCATTGAAAGTGACACCAAGACGAGCATCTGTGGCCTGAAAGCTCCGTCCAACTCTCACAGCCGCATATATCAGCTCGTCGTTCGTGTCTGCCTCTACCCCCATGCTGCTATCATCCGTGCAGGATGAGAAATACAGCTCGCTATGCAAGGAGACAAAGCGGTCGCACGCCTCAAGCGCGTGCACTTTGATGCCGACGTCCGCGCAAACATCTCCAGCAGGGAAGCCGCGTCGAGCATGGACTGGCCGCCTGCAATGGCGTCGCGCGAAGCAGATCATGCGAGGCGCCAACCACGTGTTGAAGAGAAGCTTCGCGATGCTCGTCGGGGCAGCATCTGCACAACTTCTCTCGAACTTCTATCAACTCAACCGTCCCGTAGTGCCTGCTGCAACCCGCAATCATTTGAAGGCTCTTACGACAATCATGCACGCGAGCCTCAACTCGAGCCGCAACTTGCCATGCCCGGCCAACGGCTGACCGACCTCGGGCAGCTCCCCAGTATACTCGTGCAAGCAGCTGTTGGATCCGCCCCAGCGCAGGCCCCCCGAGCCGCTGACAAAGTCGACGCGCAGCGCCAAGCAGCACAATGAGCCGATGCCCCCCCGAAGAGCTCGGGGAGCATCGACATGCAAATCCAGGGCATCTGCCTCGGATGAACTCCCGAAGACTCGATCGCTTCGAAGAGCATGCCAAAGAGAGTGAAGCTCTCGTCGCTTAACATGAGGAGGCGCCGCGAGCGCAGTCCGCCCAGACTTACAGCCGCCGACTGTGAGAACGTCGTTGCAACATCTCGGATCTCCTGACCACTGGCTCTCGGCATGGAGCTCCTGTCTGGGATCCACGCATGTGGGGCGACAGTGGTGGCGCCCCGAAGCTCGGCGCACCCGCGTGCCGCGTCCTCAGCCGCGATATGGGGATGAGCTGACGGAAGTCCATATGGAGACCTGGCGACGGTTGTCTCCTGCGCGACCCCGGCCTGCGCGACGTGTTGCAGACCTCTGGCGCATCCAGCAGCCGCTTGGCCGCGCCCGTCACGCCAACGTGAACATGGATATTTGTCAGCTGCGTGTCAAGCCAGTCTGGCGTCTTCATTGATGTCCTCTAGAAAATCTCGGAGTGGTTCGGGGAAACCGCCCAGCAGTAATCTTTCGAGCCTGGTCCACACGTGCACCCAGCCCCCCGTTCAAATTGCACGGGGGGGGGGGGGGGGGCAAGGCGAAGTCTGGAACGACGTCAGCTCGTCATCCGGAAGTGCCTTGTTTTTTTCGGTCGGCTCCGTCCAAATAGCCTTGCTTCAACGATCTGATCCCGAGCAGCGCACCACATAACCATTTCCATCCATGCGCTTGAGCTGCCAGGCCAGCCGCATCGGTGCCGTCGTGCGCGATGTCGATCCACTTCGACTAAATGCACCGTGCGCACGATTCACTCCGTCGAACCTCAACACCAGTCATGCGACCTGTCTGCTCAGCCGCGTTTGACACGAACTGCCACCATGCTAGAGTCAGGACTCCCCATGCTGCGCCCGCGCCGGCTTCCCTCGACATCACAAGGGCTTGCTCAGCGTACCGCTGCGTCAGGGACCAACCCGTGCCCGCGCGAAATGGACCAACAAGGGGGGGGGGGGGGGGGCGCAGGAAACCAAGGAACTGCTGTGTGGGTGAGGGGGGGGGGCGCAGGAAACCTAGGAACTGCTGAGTGGGTGAGTACTTGGAGCCTCTGTCCAGATGCAGCCATAGTAAGCTGAACTGGTCGATGAGGCTTCCTCTCCCTCTTAGACATTGACTTCCTTGAGCAATCTGCATGCACCAGCACTGAAGCACAATAAATCAACCGCACTTGCCCCCGTGGCAGGCCTGCATGCAATAGACGCTGGTGCAACAATAGATACTTGAGCCTGCGCAGGGAAGCTGGTCAATTCCAGAACTCTCGCATCAATATCCCAGTCGCCTCCAATGCTGCAAGTTGAAATCTGGCCAGCAAGAGACTGCCCAATACCAGCCAGGATCCGTGAATTCCTTACCGTCATACCCTCCGCACTGGGGAAGTAAATATTGCGCATGTTCACAGAAGGCCAACCAGGTACATCCACGACGACGTGTAGTGCACGATGGGCCGTCAATACTTCTGAGACACAGTTGCCATCAACTCGAAGCCGACGAAAGCCCACTGCTTCGCGAGCAAACACAGCCGCGCCAACAGACGGAAGATGTCCTTTGGTCGCCTTTCCTGGTTCAACGTTAGAACTCCATCCTCGCCGACTCGCCCATGAAGACAGTCCTTCGCCACCGTCAGCAAGATGCCCGATTTCTTGGGCTAGCGCCACCAGCGCACAGGTGCGTTTCAATCGCTTCTCCAAGGTATCACGACCTTGGTTCGCGTTGAACGTCCCCAGGAGCCCCGACCGTGTCTGATCATCTCGTGGTTCAGGGGACCCTCGAATGCGACCAGCAGCAACTGCGAGGCCGCTGACCCGTGGCAGGTGGTCAGGGACACCCCACCTCAGCAAGTCGCCGATGCTTAGCTTGATGGAGGTCGTTGGCGAGCTCGGCAAGCTTATCAGGGCCCGCTGAGAGGTTGCCTTCCTGCTGCAGCTTGTCCCACAGATCCTTGGCCTCGTCGGAGTTGATGTCTGGGGGGGGCCACTTCCCTCCACAGGTGCCAGATCTACTGCTGGCGTCGGGGGCGTCATCCGCAGCAGGAGCATCAGCTGCACCATCCATCGGGGCATCTTTGTTCGCTGTCGAGGCTGCCGTACGATTGAAGAGCAACTTCTGAAACTTGGCGAAGCTCTGGTGGGCGCTGAGGTCTTGGAAGAACTTGTCCATCTCAGGGTCGGCAGAAACCTCTGGCGCACTACCCAGCTTGGAGATGAAGTCCTCGGATACGTTTGGAACATGGGCAGCAGGTTCACCAGCCTGTTGTTGCAACTTGGCGACACTGGCCGCGACTTCGGTCTCCAGCACGCCAATATCCTTCGTCTTCGCTTCCAATGCAACTTGCTTGCCGCGAATGTCATCTGCAGCGCCTCGAGCTTCTGGTTGAGGTCACCCAACTCTTGCTCGAACTTCGCTTTCTGTCCTGTGCAGCGTTCAAGCTTCTGGAAAGCGGCCTTGTGCGCCGACACGGGAGGGCGCAAGGCACGGTGTTCTTCACGCAACTCTTCCAGCCGCTTGCGCGCTGCATGGAGGTCTGGGTCATTCTCATCCACCAGGTCCTTCGTCTGTTTGGTGTACTGCTCCGGCACGTCGATCCACTTCTGGAGGGCACACCGCTTCTCTGTAGTCTTGTCCGCATCAGTGGAGTCCTTCGGCAACTGCTCATTGTTGGCCGTCGCTGGTGTCGATGGGCCCTTGCCCGACGTGGCACGCTTGAGCTCGGCCGTGAGGTGCTCCATCTGTTTCTGCATCTGCTTATGCTGGTCACTCCATGGTGCGGGCGTCGGCGGGCCCCTGCCATTGCCAGGTCCTCCCTTGGCAGGCGCAAACCTCTGCAACTCAGCCTTGGCGGCCTTCCTCGCACGTTGGATGATGATGTACGTTGGGGCGTCTTATCCGCATCTGCACGTGATTCTGCTCGCCCAGTCCGACGTTGTGCCGCAACTGGGACAGCCCCACGTCGGTTTCTTCGGGCCAGGCAAATGGGGCCTGGCAGCGCCATGAGGTTGGTGGTTTTCCCGACCACGCCTGTGCGCCACAAGCCTCCGTAGCCCCGAAGTGTACTCTGCTCCCACAGGAGCTCACAAAAGCCAAATCAGCCCGCTGCGGCGGTGCCGCTCTGAAGTCGGCCGCAGCAAGCCCACCTGGGCCAGAACGGCCTGAGCCAAAATGGCAACGGATGAGGAGGAAGAGGAGGAGGAGGAGGATCCTGCTCTGGCCTGCCGCCCGCCCTCGCCGATGCAGAAACAAGAGACATCAGCATTCGGAAGATTCGCGTCGCGACGACCTCGGCGCAATTTTTGAGACCACGTGGATCAAGAACCGGCAGTGTTTCCAACGCTAGATCACTCCGCATGGAACGATTCTGGGGCAATGGCGGCGATCAACTTTTAAACGCCCGCGGCGGGGGTCGCCGTCGCGTCGACACGACACGAACCTACCGTCACAAAACTCTTTCGGAGGTCCGCGCGGATTGATTCTTGAATCAGCGGTGCTGGGGCCCGCTTTCCTGGCGCGCGGAGCTTACCAAGTGCGGCGCCAGATGCGCCGCCAGGGGGGCCCAACGCCGGTCCAAGGAATCCGCGCGGACCCCCAGTGGGTACTTGCGCCGTTTCTTCCTTGGCGGAGGGAATTGCCTCACCAACGGCCCCGCCCCTCGATGGCACGAGCGCAGGACGAAGATAAAGTGAAATGAGGACGGTGGTCCTGCACCGAAGGGCGACCCTGGAAAGTGTTTCTCCTTGTCCTGTCCGCCCCCGCGCTCGTAGGACGAAGGCAAGATAAGCACAAATCTTGACGATGACTCTGCGCCGTCCTCTGAGATCCGGCGGGCCTGGAAGATGTATCAAGCGGCGCGGCCGTCCCCGCAGTACTCCGGAGCGCTCTGGGGTGCATTCTGACTCGGATTTCGAAGCGAATCACGGATCTAGCCGTGGCGACGAGGGAAGGGTAACCGTATCGGTACCTCCTCCTCATCTGCGGAACGCCCTACAGCTTGACTCTGACGGCCCCTGGGCCCAAAACGGCCCCTGGAGGCCAAAGAAACGAAAACCCGAAGGCGACGAAAACACACGAATCGATGGTCGAAGTTGCATCACTTTCCCGGGGCAATGTACGCCTACCCGATCGCGGCCACGCGCGGAGGGGGAGCGAGGCCTCCCGGCCCAGCGCCGCGGTGTACTCCAGAGGCCGCCCGTGCTGGAGCACGAGTTCTCCGCTGGCGCCGAGGCCCGCGCCGGGCGCGACGCCATCCTGAGGCCGCGGGGCCGTACTCGCTGCCCCGTCGCTCCTCGGACTGCAGCAGACACGTGCGATGCGTGATATCCTCATGGTCGCACGATGGTTTTGAGCTGTTCGGACCGCGGCTGGGCAGCGGCGGGCGGCGGCGGCGGCGGCATCGGGCGCGGCGGGCGGCGGCGGGTTGCTGCGCGCTGGTTGGGCTGCGGCCCCATCCCGTGGTGTCCGTCGTAGGGATGGGTGCCGCAGAGGTTGGAGTTCGTCGAGTTCTGATGCACCGGAAGGACGGCGGAACTCGTTGTTGGGAAAGGTTCCGACGGGCGGGACGCCAGGCTAGCGGTGTAGTGCACTGCGTTTTGGTACTCGAGATTCGCGGCACGAAGGCGAACGACGGGGCTGTTTTGGCCACGGCGCACCTCGGCCACGAATACGTCCCCCGACCTAAACCTGAGGAGCGGCCCGAAAACCTGAGCCCCTCCTGAGCCCAACGCGTCCCTTGTTTGAGCGTTTTGGCTGGACGGCGTCTGGCTACAGAAATTTAAAGGGCGCATCCAGCGTCGACATCGAGCATTACACGGCGAGGCCCAATGTTCACCATGCCGAACGGGGGGTAATAACATATCGTGGGGCAGCCGCTGGCAGGCCAATGCCTGATTCCGCGCGGCTGCTGTATAGATGCGCGCTAAGGACCACTGAGCTCACAAGTTCTACTCGTAATACGAAGGCACACTTAGTGAGAGTAACTACAAGTGGGGTTTGTTGGGCAGCGTGTTGCCACGGCGGCCCCGGTGACGCGCTATGCATTGCAAGCGGACAGTGTGTCATGCCGGTCCGCGGACGGAGAGGTTAGGAAAAACTCGGGACGTTGACGCCTCGGGACCGAATAATGGATTGCGCGTCGTACCGAAGCGTGGTGGGCCAGAACCGGCGGAACGACACGCTATGACAAAACTCCCGAACGCAGAGAGCCCAGAACTGGCTGTCTGCGCCTGTGGCCCCCGTGGCCCAGCTTGTGGTCCTCGAAGGTCCGCTGGTTGCCAAAAGGACTTCGTGGCTCTGACGATGGCTATCAAAGCTCTGCTCGTGGCCCTCGTGGCTCATTTGGCGGCTCTGGTCGCTCACCCGGTGCTCCACGTCGCTCTGCTGGTGGCTCTCGAAGCTCATCAGGTGGCCCTCGTCTCGTGGCGCAACTGGTGGTCCTCGGAGCCCTGCTTGTGGCTCTCGTAGCAACACCCGCGATCCTCGTAGCTCGGCTGGTGGTTCTGGTAGCTCTGCTGGTGGTCTTCGTCGCTCGGCAGGACGGTCTTGAAGCTCTGCTGGTGGCTTTCGTAGCTGCACCCTGTGGTCCTCGTAGCTCAGCTCGTGGCCCCAGAAAGCTTACCGGTGGCCCTGGTAGCTCTACTGCTGATTGTAATGCTCGTGGGCGCCCGTGGGGGCAGGGGAGGCGCTGATTGCCTTGGTATTTTTTTGTGCCGGGGGGTCGCAGAGCTCTGTGCGTGGCCTCCGCAGTGGAGCGCGTCGCCCTCGTAGTTCAGCCGGTGACGCTCGTAGCTGGGCGCCAGCGATGCACCAGCGCGGCGCCTGCGTGACATGAAAGGCCTCGCGCGCACGGGCCGCCGTCTCTTTGACCTCAGTCACCTCGCCACCTCCTTCTTATTTTCCCCCTTTTCCTCCCCATCTCACTGGGCCGCCTCCTCAGCCTCCTGTCTCGCCTCCTCCTCCTTCTCAACCTCCTCCTCACCCTTGGGCGCGCCGTCCCCTTCGTGTTTCACGCCGTCATCCTCCTCGTCCACGGTTGCGTTCTCCTCCCCCCTTTCCTTCTGGGTCCGCTGCGCGACGATGTCCTTTTTCCGTTCACGGGCGGCGTCCTCGCAGGTGCACTCGACGCAAATTCCCAGACACTGTGGCCCCGTCCCAATCGCGCGGAGGGATCGAGCCGCAGCCAGTGGGCCATGGCGATGGCGTCGCCACTTGCGACCGCTCGGCGCATGGTGTCTAGGTAGTGGTCCTCCACGAGCCCCGCATTATTTTCGCCTCCAAAAACTCTTTCTCCACCATCTCCTCCACCTCATCCTCCACCTCCTACTCTGCCTCCTCGCTGTCCTCCTGCGACGGCATCCTGCTGACGCGCGGGGTTCCGCGCCTCCTGCGGGAGTTTCTTGCGCCATGCCTGTAAAGATCGTGCTCGCCGTCGCCTTCCTCGTCGCACCGCGAGCCCCGGTACTAGGCCCATGCCCTGCGCGCCTGCGCGTCCTCATGGTGTTCGAACTGGCAGTTGAAGTAGTCCATCTCCGGGTCGATCTGCTTGAGCATGGGGACGTGCATGGCGTTCGTATCCACGTCGGTCCACGCCTTCCTGGCCTCGTTTGCTTCTTTGGCGTCTGGTTCTCTCTCTCTCTCTCTCTCTGGCTTCTACGGCGGTCCTCCAAACCTCCTAACTTCCCGGACACATAGGCCTCCTCTGCCCTCTTTGCTTCCTCTGCCTTCCGGACCTTCCCAGCCATCCAGGCGTCCTGTGCCGCTTCCACCTCTCCCGCGTCCTCCTTCTCCTCCGCCACCTTCTCCTCCCCCCCTCCTCCTCCTCCTCCTCCTCCTCCTCCTCCTCCTCCTCGTCGTCGTCGTCGTCGTCCTCATCGTCCTCGTCATCCTCGTCGTCCTCCTCCTTTTCCTCCTCCTCCACCTCCTCCTCCTCCTCCTCCTCCTCCTCCTCGTCTGCTGGTCCTTTTTACCATAGCGGGGGGTTCTCGCAATTCGACCGGTGACCGTCGTAGGTCTGCCTGTGGTGCTCGTAGCTGAATGCGTGCCCCCCGTAGCTCCTTCGGGGCCTTCGTGGGTCAGCGGGTGAGTCTCGCAGCTCAGCCCGTGACCCTCGCAGCTCAGCTCGTGAGCCTCGTAGCTCAGGTGGTGGCTCCCACAGCTGAGGAGGTGGCGCCGGTAGCCCTGCTCGTGGCTCTCGAAGCTCTGCCTGCGGCCGCTCCACGGGCGGCCCCCGTCAGCGCAGCTGCCTCCGTTTTATAAGTGAAGGTCATCTCGCCGACCAGGCCCCGCATGGTCAGCGAGCAAGGAAGCTGACCGCAGTTGAACTCGCGGTCGTGCTCCCAGTAGGCATCGTTGTCGCAGGCGTGGGTGAGATCGCATTGGTAAGCGTGCGGCACAGGGACGAAGATAGGGGCGTCATGGTCCCAGCCGAAGCGTCGGTATCCCTTCTTGTCCTCCGACTCCACCTCCTCCGACCCCTCCTCTTCCCCCTCCTCCTTCCCTGGTTTGTCGGGTACCTTGAGTCGGCGTGCTGGCGACGCCATAATGAAGGTGGCCGTGGCGATGGTCCGAACGTCGACGGGGTGCGGATGTAGCAAGCTTCAATTGCAGTATCCCGCGCGCTGTCGAACAGCATCTGCTCGGACAGGTGTCCTACTGGTCGTAGTTGATCTCAATATGTTTGCCGGCAAATCTCCACGTCGTGTGCGTCGATCGCATTTGTCTTGGTTGCGAATGATCTCAAGGTACTTCACGTCGATATAGATGAAATCTGCGTGGTGTTGGTGATCTTGGTGATGCTCCCGTGTATCGTCATGTATTCTACGTGGATCGTGAAGTATTTGGCGCTCTCGGGCCAACGCCCTCTCCCGCGGGTGGTGGGGAACACTCCCCGCAAGGACCAGAATGGCTATCCTCCTCCTCCTCTTCCGGCTCCGCCCCCTGCTTCTGCCCATCCTCATTCTCTACCTCCCACTCCTCCATCTCATCCAAATCGCCCTCCTTCCCTCCCCCCTCCTCATCCTCGGCCTCCTACTCATCAGCCCCCCCCTCCGCATGACGCCTGCTCGGCCATATTGGGTCCACGCCCGCAGCCAGCGAACAGCGCGCACTCCTGGCAGCCCAATCAGCGGTCATCACCCTTTTTCTCCACCCACCTCCTCGTCCTCCGTCGGGCTTCGAGCTGCGGACATTTGGTTCCCTGGGCGGATGCGGCCATCCAACTCATCCTCCTCCTCCTCCTCTTCCACATCCGCCCCCTCCTCCTCCTACTTGTCCTTCTCCTCCTCCTGCTTCCTCCTTCTCCTCCTCCTCCTCCTCCTCATCATCATCATCGCCCTCGTCCTGGTAGCTTACGCCTCTCTCGCCATCCTCGTCCCCGTCGTCGGCGGCGGCGTCAGCGTCGTCTCCTCCGGGGCATTCGAATAGCTTCGAAGAGCCGTCGAAGGGCCATCGGTACCCTCTGGAGGGCATCTGGATACCTTCGTCGTCGTCGTTGTCTTCCTCCTCCTTCACATCCTACTCGTCTCCATCCTCCTTCTTCCCCTCCTTCTCCTCCTCCTCAATCCCTCTTCCTTGCGTAGCACCCCACAGTTGCAGATAAATGTGAGGCGGAAGCGGGGACGCCGGCAGTCTGCGAGGCTCAGAAGAAGCCCGCCGCAGGCGCCTATATTTTTCAAATTGCGGGCTCGCCGCAAGCGCTGATTTGTCAGTTAAAGCAGTGTAGGTGGGTCGCGGGTGGGTCGCCAGGTGTCGCGGGGTGGGTCGCGGGGTGGGTCGCGGGGTGGGTGGCGTGCGGGTCGCGGGCGAGGACGAAAAGTTCAACAACGCAAGAAGAACAACAACGACGCAACAACAACAATCCGCACCGCGAAAGCTCACTTCAGCCACACGCCTAAGCATAATGAGTGACTGCTGAGCCCTGTAACTCTGATGAATAACTACCCCGTGTCGCACCACCAAACGCGTCCGTAGGCCGGACAGGGCGTTCCGATTGAGATCTCCTCATACCATGACATCATGAAGCCAAGGAGCCCCAGCAATTACGAACTCTAGGGCGGATAGTTTTACAAAACGCGGCTATCGCCTTAGCGCCGCGCAGCCTCGCTTGAAAAACTTGCAGCCACTACTTAGATACAAAGTGCCGAGCATCTTCAAAATGCGGCTCTCGCAGTGGCACCGCGCGCATTCGCCTGGCAGACTTGCAACAGCTACAAGCATGGAGGGCGGCTGAGTTTCCGAATGCGGCCCTCCTCTGGGCGGCGCGCGCGTTAGTCTCTAATGTATGCAACAGTTACAAATATGGAGGGCGGGACATGTGCAAGATGGGGTTCTTGATTCAGGCCTCCCTGACGCTAGGTTTGAAAAAATGTAGCAACTGCAAAGATGGTCGGTGGTTTTTGTTTTCAAAATGGGACTCTCGCTTGGACTTCCTAGATTTAGACCAGAAATTCCAACATGCAGACGTTGCAAGAATGGGGGGCGATTCCTTGTTCCAAACAAGGCTCTCGCTAGACACATTGCCGGAGTATCCGCCACCGTGCCATGTGCACGTTGAGACACGGAAGAAGGTCAAGGGCTGCCTGGAAGGGCTCATGCATTCTGGTAAGAGACCCGTCCCTCTACCCACAGTATCTGCATGCACCGCCCCCCCCCCTCCCGAAGCTCCCTGGGCCACGACCGCTGATTAAAAAGACGGCTGATGCGCATCACGAACTTCAAGACGGCCCGCGCAGGCAAGCAACGCTGGCAACATAGAATCTAGACGGCCCAGGGTGCCTCCAAGAGATTCCAACAGAGCCACAGGAGGACCCCCAACCGTGCCCGAGTAACCCAAAATCATTGAATGTGTTTTGGTTGAGAGGCCCAAATGGGGTACATGAGGGCTCCTCGAAGAAAGAAGACTAAACGTGTCACAAATGACGGCTCGCCTCTTCGACCTCCAGCTCCTGCTCCTCCTACTCCACCCCGTCATCATGACAATGATCACCACGACCACCCTCAGGATCATCGTCATCATCGTCAACGCCAGCAGACCCAGCAACATCATAACAATCGTACTCATAACCACACCCTCATGCCAGCAGGATCATCGCCATCAGCATCAGCAGCATCATCATCGATCAGCATCACCATCGCGATCGCCATCGTAATCAACCAGTACCACCATCATCATTACGAACAGCACCAAGGTCGTCATACATATCATCATCAACACAATTACTATCCTCACCACCTGTCGGATTACAACCATTTTTTCGCACTCCCCCTGGCGCCATCCTCCGTGCAGTTCCCAGCGCAAGCATCTAGACAACAAAGTGTGGCTCTTTTCGGCACCTTGCTGGCCGAAGAACCCCCCACCGTCAACCCGCAGCGCCGGCGAAAACGGATGCATTTGAAAGCCGCTTTCTTCCTCACCCAAGGCGTTGACAAACGCGCACAACATCGAAATGAAAACCCTGCTTGCCGCAGGCGCTGACTGGGGCGGACAAATCGTGCCCCCCCTGCGCAGAGCAGCAGATATCGGACTCCACAAGGAGGAGGAGGAGGAGGAGGAGGAGGAGGAGGAGGAGGAGGAGGAGGAAGAGGAGGAGGAGGAGGAGGACCAGGAGGACCAGGAGGAGGCCCGGCCAAGGAGGGAGTTTGCGGAAGAGTGGCTCACACCGCCGCCACCATGGTGTCGCACCCCGGCACCAATGTCAAGACCTCTCTGTCCATCTTGGTGCTGCGACTCATGATGACCGTCGGAACCACGTCAGGTATTTCAGGTAGCCGTCCCCGTGCCAGGGCGGAGGCTGTAGGGTGACGGGCACGGGTAGTGGTACCGGTGCGTCGTGGGCCCAGCAGCTCAACTCTCTGCGCACAGGTCGTGCATTGAATTCAGTCGCTGGTGAGATGGAGTCGGTGGGGAGCTGGAGTCGGCGGCCGTTGAGGGCTCAAACCGGACATAAAGCCCGCGCGCGGAGGAGTAGAGTTGGAGGCGGCGCAGGCGTCGGGGCAGGAGTCAGAACTGAGATGGAGGTGAGCATGCACGGCCCGTACTGTGGAATGGGGCGGGTGGAGGTGAAGCCGGAGATGGAGAGCAAGCGCCGGATTTCGTTGGCGTCGGTGCTGGGGTGGTCTTTGGTATTGGTGCCGGCGTAGGTGCCAGTGTTGAGGTTGTTGCAGGGGCCGTCGTCGGAGCGGAGGCGTTGGTGCAGAGGCTGCCGTCGGAGTGGAGGGGGAGGGTGGTCCATAGTGGAGCTGTCACCTTTTGGCTGGCCTGGGAGGGGCGTGGGAAACCGCCCATGCGAAGCCAGAAGACTTGATGCTATAGGTCGGCATGCTGCGTTGATGTGTTTTGGAGGTCGATAGGTGAAGGTGGATGTGGATTGTTTGATGCTGGGTCTTGCAGGTGGTGGTGCTGGCCTGGTGGAGGTTGAAAGCCGATAGGTGGGGGTGATGGTGTGAACGTTGATGCCGGATGCTGGATGTGAGAGGTTAGGGTGCGGAGGTCACTCGGTGGTGGTGTAATTGGAGTTGGGTGCTAGCTGCTGGGGGTCAAAATGCCGCGTTTGTGGACGCGAGAGGTCGATAGGTGGAGGTGGAGCTGGGAAGATGGATGCTGGTAGCAAGATGGCGCAGTGTTGATCTGGTAGAAGTTGAGCATGGACAGGTGGGGGTGGACAACTGGACGCTGTAGGTCGGAATGCCGCGTTGGTGTGCGCTGGAAGCCGATTTCTTACCACCACGGCTCCCATCATCTGGATACTTGCTGCTCTCAGTGTGCGACTGAACCGGGTACTTTGTCAACCGTGTCGCTTGGGGATCCTGTGGCCCCCGTAACGGTCTAGCTGGCCGTTCGTGTAAACAGATATGCACCATGTCGCAATAGACAGCAGTAGTGGAATGATAAATGTCCCCCCTCCACCTCGCATCATCCAACATCTTCACCTGGTGCCCGTCGTGCTGCTCGTGGTACGCGCCGGACTGCACCTCGTACCCGTCGTGCTGCTCGTGGAACTCGCCGTGTGACTCACACGTCGTGCTGCTCATGGTGCCCTCCTTGCTGCTCCTGGTGCCCGTGGTGCTGCGCATCCGCCGTGCTGCTCCTGGTGTCCCGCGTGCTCGTCGACGTGCAGCTTTTGGTGTCCGTCGTGCTGCGCGTGGTACTCGTCGTGCAGCTCGTGGTATCCGTCGTGCTGCTCCTGGCACCCGTCGTGCTGCGGATGGCATCTGTCGTGCAGCTCGTGGTGCCCGTCGTGCTGTAGCTCGTATCGGTCGACGTGGGCGTGGTCTCCGTCGTGCTGCTCGTGGCACTCGTCGTGCAGCTCACGGAATCCATTCTGTCAGTTGAGGCTGGCAGGCCTGTCGCTGTCCCGGCTGCGTGACCGATGGATTGTGGGAGGGCGTCTGCCCTGGACTCGGCCGGAGTCGAAACTGTGTACGAGTTTTCTCGCACCCCGAGGGTGGACGCCGGCGTGTCGCCCTATTTGGGGGATGCCAGCCTGTCGATGTATTCCAGTGCTGCTCGTGGTCTCTGCCGCGCAGCTCGTGGGCCCCGTCGTGTTGCACGTGGTACTCGTCGTGCAGCTCATGGAATCCGCGATTGTGCTGTAGCAGGTGCAAGTGTTGGCGCCAGCGGCAGAGCTGGCGACGGCGCCGGCGTAGACGATGGCGCTGGTGCCGGCTTAGGAGCAGGCGTTGATGCTAGCGTGTCGGTGCTGGCGTTGATGCCGGCGTAGGCGCAGGCGTTGATGCTGGCGACGGTGCTGGCGTCGGCGCTGGCGGGAACGCCGGCGTTAGAGCTGGCGTTGGTGCATGCGTGGGAGCTACTGTAGGCGCTGGCGTTGTTGCCGGCCAGCATTGGTACATAGGCGCTGGCGCCGCCGCAGATTTAGGTGAGGCCGGAGTTGATGCTGGTGTCGGTGCGGACGTCGGCGCAGGCGCACGCTTCGGCGCTCGTGCTGGCGGCGGTGCTGGCATCGGTGCGGGTGTAGGCGCTGGCGTTGGAGCCAGGGCAGGCGCTGGCGTTCGTGCTTGCCTCAGTGCTGGCGTCTGTGCTGGTGCTGGCGCTGGCGTTGGTGCAGGCGTAGGCGCTGGCGCTGCTGCTGCTGCCTTAGTGTTGGCGGCGGCGCTGTTGTAGGTGTCGACGGTTGTGCTGGTGTCGGTGTTGGCGTCGGTGCTTGCGTAGGCGCTGGCATTGGTCCCAGCGTTGGCGACGGCTGGCGTAGGCGCTGGCGCTGGTGCCAGTGCAGGCGCTGGTGTTTGGCTGGCGTCGGTGCAAGCGACGGCGCTAGCGAAGGCGTTGGCGTTAGTGCCGCCACAATCGCAAACGCTGATGCCGGCGCAATCGCACGCGCTGATGCTGGTCCCAGTGATGGCGTCGGCGCTGGCGTACGCGCACACGTAGGTGCTGGCGTAGGTACTGGCGTCGGTGCGGGTGGAGACGATAGCGTTCCTGCCAAGCCAAATCGATAGCGGATGGGCCGGCACACTCTTTTTTAGGCTTGAGTCGATTGCCACACTGAGCTTGAGGGGACAGTCTTTCAGGCAATTGAGTCGGTCCCGAAATTGTCCAAATCAACCCTGCATCGCGTCACCAGCATCACCACGATCGCCACCACCATCATCATCATCATCATCATCATCATCATCATCATCATCATCATCAACATCATCATCATCATCATCATCATCATCATCATCATCATCATCATCACCATCATCATCATCATCATCATCATCATCATCATCATCATCATCATCATCGTCATCGTCATCGTCATCGTCATTGTCATCAACATCACCATTCTCATCACCGTAAGGCGAACCGTCCCAGGCTGGGAGCGACGCAGCCCATACATTCCGACGTAGACGTGCATGTCGTTCTGCGAGCGCGCTGAGTTGCGAGGGGGCTATTCGTCGGTACCCAACTACAGAATGTTTGCATCCTGGGATTGGGACGTGAGCATGGGCGTACTCGGTTCAAGGTTCATCCAGAAGTGGCTAGTGTACATCCTGCTCTTGCGCCCGCTGCTGCATTATCTAGAACATATAACTTGATCTACGGATGATGTGCACTGTCTTGCATAGGGATCGCGATGCACGTAGTCATCCACGCGGGCGTGATCCCAGACAACACCCTAATTAGGAGCGTACTTGTGCCCTTCTTCCTATTTTTGTTCCTGCCTCCTTCCTGGCGGGGCGGGAACGTGCAACACCCCGGAGTTCCAGGGGAGGCCGTTGGGATTCCCTTGGGATCCTTCCTCCCTCTTTGGGCTCCGGGGGCAGGAGGTTGTTGCGCCTGATCACCGCGAGACCTCTTCTTGGGCTCTGTACTAGTCTCGCTTCCTGACTTCATAATCCTTCGTGGCCGCTACTCTTCATGGCGTCTCGTAGGGGTTACCCGGATAATCCAGGACAACACTCTAGGAGCCCACTCCTATCCATGGAGTCCTTTCCCTGGTGGGTGTTAGCCGTAGCGAGGCAGGGGTCTGGGCTCCCCCCTGTGCCCCTCCTCCTCCTCCTCCTCCTCCTCCTTCTCCTCCTCCTCCTCCTCCTCCTTGTCCTCCTCCCCCTCCTCCAACTCCTCCTCCTCCTCCTCCGCCTCCTCCTCCTCCTCCTCCTCCTCCTCCTCCCTCTGCTTTCCTGCCCTCCCCGTGGCACGGGGTCCCCATGCCTGCCTCGCAACGGTTCTCTCCCCCCTCCTGGGCGGGGGCGTTCTTTTATCGGGTTTGTTTTTCTTGGCTTCAGTGGGCTCTGAGTTGCGTTTATCTACACGCGTTTATCCATGAGACCTTGGGGGCGATTGTGCCCACGGATGTTATTCCAGGTCTGTTCGGTCATTGTGCCCACAAGGCCGAAGCCTACGTGCTGAGGCTGGGCCGGGTTGCCACGGCTTACACGCCGAAAGTATGACCGTTCAGGCCGGCCGCCCTTCTTGGGGTCCAGGTTGCTTGATTTTTACATCCGTTAGAATTATTACTGCCCAGAGGGTGAGGGTCTTGGCCCCTGTGCACCGATTAGTAGTACACCCTTCATCCCTCGTCTGCATATGGGTTTGTTTTCTTTGGCAGCCCTGCCGCATCCTCCTTGTGGTCTCGATAGACGCTCGGTCTTTGTCTATTGCTTCCACCCTGCGGCTTCTTGTGCCGGAGGTGGCGGTTGGGGGGCCCATCGGTCTGGCCGTCAACCCCAACAACAACAACAACAACAACAACAACAACAACAACAACAACAACTGTCCTGCATATGGCAGCTCTTCTGGTCAATCTGCCTATGGCGGGTCCTTGTTAGGACTGGTCCATGCCGCAACTTCTCAAGATCCTGCTGCTGCCGCCGTTGCATGATCAGGTCACCGCCTAGGCATTTCGTTAACCAAACAATGGAACAGCATCAGCGATCGGACCTTCCTCCTGGGGATTCAGCTGGAGAGGAGCGGGAAGGGAAGGGAAGGCAACAGGAGTGGAGGAGGGTAAGCAACAGGCAGGGAAAAATAGGACAGAATGAAAAGGAGGACGTGAAAGAGGGTACATGCGTAGAGGGGTAGCGGTAACGGCGGAGCCAGCGGAAGAAGGTGTTCAACAGACTCGGCCAGCCGAGCTGTCGTCGAGGTCTCGGGCATCGGCAGCTCCGACAAGCAGACGCAGGTGGGGAAGAAAATGAGGGAAGCAAGTGGATGAGGGATGGATGGGCAGGGCATGGAAGAGGGAGGAAATCAAGGAGGGGAATCGTAGAATTGGGAAATGGGAGAAATGGGAGGGGGGAAGTGGAATTGCAGACGAGATTCACCACTGCTGCAAGCCACAACTGTTCACGACCCGACCCAGCCGAAAGCCACCCGGACGCCACTCGGAAGCTGACCCCGTCCTGCGGGGCCATGCGCCACCTGTCGGAGCCCCGCAAACTCCTGGCCACCGTTTCCAGATCCTCCGTGCACCGGCCTGCTCCAGGCCGGCTGCACGCCCTGGCACGTTCAAGTAGCGCGCCGCACCGCCAGGGACCCGACGGCTCTTCGGAGCGCCGCCCCGAAGAACGATCGAATAACCTCCTCCATCCTCACCTCCTCTTCCTCCGCCTCCAATCCCGACTGCAACTGCTACCAAAGCGCATACGACGACTTACGTCTACTATCATGAATGGTAATGTTACTACTACTCCAAATAGTACTTCTACTACAACAACAACAACTACTACTACTACTACTACTACTACTGCTACTGCTACTGCTACTACCACTACCACTACCACTACCACCACTACTACTACTACTACTACTACTACTACTACTACTACTACTACTACTACTACTGCTACTGCTACTACTACTACTACTACTACTACTACTACTACTACTACTACCACTGCTACAACTGCTACGACGACGACTGCTACTATTACAACTACGACGACGACTACAACTACTACTACTATTTCCACTACTACTACTACTACTACTACTACTGCTACTACTACTACTACTACTAGTACTACTACTACTCCTACTACTAATCCTACTACTACTACGCCTACTACTCCTACTACTACTACGGCTACTACAACTACTCGCACTACTACGGCTACTAAAACTACTCCTACGATGATTACAACAACTACCACTACTACTACTACTACCACCACTACTACTACTACTACTACTACTACTACTACTACTACTACTACTACTACTACTACTACTACTAACTACTACTACTACTACTACTACTACTACTACTCCTACTACTACTTCTACTACATCCAGTACGACTGCTATTACTACTACTGCTACTACGACTACTACTACTACTACTACTACAAGTACTACTACTACTACTCCTACTACTACTACTCCTACTACTACTGCGCCCACTACTCCTACTACTCCTACTACTACTACTACTACTACTACTACTACTACTACGGCAAAAACAACACCTCGCACTACTACGGCTACTAAAACTACACCTACGATGATAACAACAACAACTACTACTACTACTACTACTAGTACTACCACTACTACTACTACTACGACTACTACTACTACTACATCTACTACATGAAGTACGACTGTTATTACTACTGCTACTACGACGACTACTACTACTACTATGACTACTATTACGACGACGACGACTACTACTACTACTTCTACTACTACTACGCTCCTACTACTACCACGACCACCACTACTAGTACTACTACGACCACAACTAATGTGCTGCTGCTTGCAATCCTCAACCTATTACTACTACTACTGCGACTACTACGACGACTACTAGTGCTACGACTACTGCCACAACTACTACGACTACTAGTACTAGTACTCGTACTAGTGCTAGCACTAGTACTAGTACTAGTACTAGTACTTGTACTACTACTACTAGAACTAATACTACTACTACTACTACTACTACTACTACTACTACCACTACTACTACTACTACTACTATTACTACTACTACTACTACTGCTGCTACTACTACTACTACTACTACTAGCATTATTGCTCCCCCTACTCTTACAGCAATCGCTATTTATAAAACCACTACTGGCACTACGAGTGCTACTACAAAAAACTACTTCTACGACTGCGAGTGCGACGGCTAAAGTTACTACTATCGCAAACGCTGCCACGACTACTACAACTACTCGTACCACTACCACTACTACTACTTGTACTACAGCTACGACTACTACCAGTAAGTGTTGCCTCACGATTGCTGCTACTACTACGACGGCTACTCTGCGACTACTATTTCGATTTTTCTTGCTACTACAAAGAATACGACTTCCACTGTTATTATTGCTAGTCTGATTATTACTACTGCTACTACTACAACTCGTACTACTACTACTACTACTACTACAACTAGAACTTCGACTTCTATGATTACTACTACCACCACTACTACGACGACAACGACTTCGAACGCGACCACTACGACTACTATTACGACTACTACTGCCACTACTACTACTACTACTACTACCACTACTACTACTACTACTACTACTACCACTACTACTACTGCTACTACTACCACAACTACTACTACTACTACTACTACTACTAATAATAATAAGAATACTACTAATACTACTACTACCACTACTCCTAGTATTACGAGCACACCGAATACCACCACTCCCACTACACCGGTTACTGCTACGAGTACTACCACCACTGCGACGTCTACTACTTCTACACGCACTCCAAGAACGGCCCCCATTGCCAGTACTGCTTGGATTTCGCCTACTACTACTAGTACTACTACTACTACTACTACTACTCCTCCTACGACCACTACGACGACGACGGCTTCAACTACTACTCATACTACCACGATTACAAGCTTTGACGCTTGTATAACAACTACTGCCACTACAACGACGACTACTATGCCTACTCCTACGACAGCGACGGCTAGTACGACCATACTACTTCTACAACTACGACTACGACGACGACGACAACAGACGACGACGACTACTACTACTACTACTGCTAGCACTGCTGCGAGCACTACTACAACTACTACTACTACCACCACCACTACCACTACTACTACTACTACTACTACTACTACTACTACTACTACTACTATTACTACTTCTAGTACTACTACTACTACTGCTGCTAGTACTGTCACGATTACGGTCAGAACAGCGACTCCAACTACTGCTACTACGGCTACCCTTTCTACTACGACATCACCTACTACTAAAATCGCCACGACGAGTACGACGGTTACTACTGCAACTACTACCAGTACCACTACGACTACGATTACGACAACTACCACAACGACGACGACGACGACGACTACTACTACTACTACTACTACGACTACAACTACGATGACAACTACCACTACTACTACAAGTACGTCTACTACAGCTACGACCACTACTACACCTGACACCACTACTACCACTACTACTACTACTACTACTACTACTACTACTACTACTACTACTACTACTACTACTACTACTACTGCTACCACAAAAACTACTACGACAACGGCTACTACTGCGACTATGACGACGACGACGACGACTACTATTGCGATGACGAAAACGAATATTGCCATTGGCATTAATTCTACTATCACTACCCCTACTGCTACGACGACGATCAGTGTCACTACTACGACCTCTTCTACTACTACTAGTACTACTACTACTACTACTACTACTACTACTAATACGACCACTGCCATCACCATTACCATGACTAGTACTACGACTAGCACTGCGATAATACTACGACGAATGCTACAACAACTACTTCTACTTCTACTACTAATCCTACTGCTGAAGACACGACTGGTACTACTACGACGACTACTACTACTACTACTACTACTACTGCTACTAACGCGATAGCCGCTACAACTGGGGCTTGACCTACGTCCATAAATACTACTACGTCTCCGACTACCACGACTGCAGCGAAGAGTACGGCAACGAGAGCTACCACGACTACATTCCGCACGGCCTACACTTCTACAGGGACAAATACTACTGCTACCAGAACTACGACCAGTGCTTCCCCTATTGCTACAATCGCGACGACGCCATTTGCTCACACATACTGCCGCTTCCATGATTACGTCTACGACTACTCTCATTATTACGACTACTACCGCCAGAACTACCTACGACTAGTCATACTATTACTCCGGCGACGACGGCGACGACCACCACGACTACTACCAGCTACTACTCGTAGTACCACCACCACCACTACTACTACTACGACTACTACTACTACTACTACTACTACTACTACTACTACTACTACTACTAATAATACTAATACTACTGCTGCTACTACTACTACTACTACTACTGCTACTACTACTACTACTACTACTACTACTACTACTACTGCTGCTTTTCGAAAAACTACTAGTCCTAAGACGATGTTTAACAAGTACTTTCCCAAAAACTGCCACGATAACAACTACTGTTACTACTACTCCTACTACTACTACTACTAGTAGGACTACTATCACTATTGCTACGACTACTACGACTACTACATCTACGACCACAAGCTCTACTACTAATCCTACTACTTCCACGACTGGTACTAGTACTCGTACTCATGGTATGGCAATCCGTACTACTACCACTACTACGACTACCACTAGTACTTCTACCACTACTACAAGTTCTACGACGCCAACTACTACCACCACGACTCGAACTCGTATGACGACCGGTGCCACTACGACGGCAGCAACAACTACTACTACTACTACTACTACTACGCTTTCTACTAAGACCACAACTACCACCAGTGCTACTATTACTACGACTACTACTACTACTACTACTACTACTACTACTGCTACTACTACTACTACTCCTACTAATACTACTCCTGCTACTACTACTACTGCAACAACTACTACTACTACTACTACTACTACTACTACTACTACGACTACGACTACTACTACTACTACTACCACTACTACTACTACTACTACTACTACTACTACTACTACTAATACTACTACTACTACTAGTACTACTACTACTACTACTACTACTACTACTACTACCATTGCTACGAATACCACTTTTACTATTACTGTTACTTATACGACCACGCCTACAACTATTACTTCTACACCACGAATGCTACAAACACAACTCTTCGGGATACCACTACACGCGCGACGACTACAACGACTATGATCAGTACTACAAACACTACTACTACTACTACAATTACTACTACTACTACTCCTACTACTACTACTACTCTACTACTACTACACCTACTCCTACTAGGACTAAATGTACTACTACTACGACTACTACACCTACTACTCCTACTACTCCTACTACTACTACTACTACTACTACTACAATTACTACTACCACCACTACCACTACCAGCACAACTTCCA